TTAGTATAAGATATTCTAAAAAAGACCACCATGCTTTTATATGTTTTTTGTTTGAAGGTCAAGTGGTGATTTTACATATAAAAAAATATGTATATATAACTCGTAGAGAACTTAAGCAGAAGGACCTACAAGAAAAGCATTATAAAATTGTAAAAAGAAAAAATGGTAAAAAAAAAACTTTACACGGTTTTGAAACCAAACTTCAATTCGGACGTCTTTCCAAATCAAGTGCTTCCTTTTGTTTTTACATTTTACGAAAAAAGTATAGAAACATCATTATTGTCTAAGCTCTATCTTTAAAGAAGACGAGGCTATTCTCTGGTTAGTCGGAGTTTCTTTCTCGGCGGAGCAGCTGACTGAAATTTTTATCGTCTCTATTAGAATTAAATGTGTAAACTTGGTTTGTTCCGGCTAAGGTGTGAATTGGTTAAAGCTTATGTGGTAAACCAAAACTATATTTAAGGTTGTATTGTTCTTCATTGTAAAAACAACAGAAACATTACTCTTATCTCTAAATCCTATCGAGCTCTTCTTCACGAGAGAATCTCGATCTAGTTTCTGTTCAAATGTAGTTCCTAATAGTCTCCATCACCTTCTTCAGACGAAGGCAGTTTTGTTCTTCGACTGATCGTTATGTCAGAAATGTTCTACAAATGAAGTAGAGAGAAAAATTCTTATTCCAATAAAACTAATCCAAAGCCTGAGATATTACCTTACCTTTTTACATTTCCATATTAACCAAAGCATTACCTTTGAGAGTAAAGGCAAATCAAGGGAACTAAAGTCATCATGCTTGGAATCTTTGACTTGTTCAGACTTGAAGTACCTTTCAAGGGAAACCACTTCACAGCCAACTATATGAGCCAAGCTAGTCTTACCAGACCCACCCAGAGAAAATCAGTGCGACAACAAACAGCAAATACGCAATATTACCTACTCCAACAATAACAGGAGGTCCCTTATTCTCCAACAAGGCCTGAAACAATAATCACAAAGCAAAAGAACCCTTACTAGAAAGAGGTTCCTCCTATCTACCTGTACTGCTTGAACGGAAAGAAGCAACCCTCTGTCCAAGTCGTATGAATCAGGCATAGGAACAAGCCGTATATTATCCCTGAAAGAGGAATCTGTGGCTGCTTGATGAGAAAGCCTAGGTATAAATGTGACGATAATATTGATAGACAATAGCACTAAAAGAGGGAACTGATCAGGGAAAAACCATCAATCTTCAAGATGGACATACCTATTGTCATTTCCTAGGCTTTCACATACTATATAATTCACAGACCTTTACTCTCAAGGATCAGTTCCACGTACCCATTCTCAGAGCTTCAGCTCCCACACTCTATGCAAAAAGATCTATTAAAACATGTATAGCAAAAGGGAGACTAAAAAAGCTCAATTCCTCACTACTGACAGAGAAAGAAAACTAGTTTAAAAAATGTTTCTAGAGTCTTTTCTACATTGAAGATCATTGTGCTTGTTCTAAGAGAGAACTGTAAGTATCACCTTCCTGTCTGTCCCTCTCAGTACCAGGAAAGTCTCTCCAAGGGTATCGCGAGACAGGGATAAATTTCCATAACTGACAGCAGTTGAAGCTCTCTTATAACTCTCTACAACATTGTAGCCTAAAGCTAGCAACCGCCCAAACTGCTAGACATTAAATATTAAGTCACACAGAGAAGGATTGTAGGAAGTATTCTTCAAAAGGATATCTGCAAGCTGCCCGCAATCTTGAAATATTACAGAAAAATAGCAAAATGAAGGAAAATACTGGACCAGCATAAACAATGTAGTTCTACTGTTATCTTTTCCACCAACAATAAAGAGTTAGAGATAACTCACATTCCATAAAGATTTACAGAATTCAGTAGAGAATACCAGAAATTTAACACAAGTAAAGGAACAGTTTAGTTCTACATCACCCGATTCTTACTGTTACCTTTTTTCCCCCAAGAATAAACACATTCCAAAAGAAGGAAACACCGTATGATTATTGAAAGCTCGAGATTCCGTGTAACAACTCACCTCAAACTCAGCTTTCAGCCGGATAATGAAATGCTTGTCAACAATCCTTTGGTCTCCAATCGACAGATAGTACCTTATACCAGACGAACTTTTAACCAGTCATTTATCCGTGCCCCTTCTTCACTTGCAGAAGGAGGTCTGAGGTACATCTCAATAAAACTCTGAAAGCAGTAAAAAGCTTAAACCATTTCCCAAATACTAGAAGAATCCTTCTGCACTTCGCTTTCTTGAGCAAAAGAAGTTACTATCTGTTACATAAGTTTTAGTCAAGTGGTATACATTATGACAGAAATTTCAGCT